AAAGAAAAAAAAAAGAAATATAGTGAGCAATGTGTCACTAAAGACACACTACTTCCTAATGCTGGACATGGTAACTTGGGAGGCTGAGGCAAGAGGACAGCAAGTTCAAGGCCAACCTTAGCAACTTAGTAATACACTGTCTTAAAATAACATTTGGAAAGGGATGGGGATGTAGCTCAGTGGTAGAGTGCCGCTGGGTTCAATCCCCAGTACTGCAATTTTAAAAAGAGAGAAGGAGAGGGACAAAACTTCCATGGTGCCTCAAGACAAATGTTCCCTTCATGAGTAAATGTGAGGATCTGATTACATGAAGAGCAAACATACCTTCACCATACATTACTCCCAAGTATTATCTCAGAAGTTGTTCAGGATGGTTCAAGAGCACTTCAGCATGAAGAAAAGCAACTACCCACAAGGAGCTTACAATCTAATTGAGAGATAGGGACACAGAGATGGAACAAATACTGAAAAGATATTTATTACATTCTGATGTAACTGAGTACTAAACAGTATGACATAGTTTAACAATAAAGAGTAAGATGTTAATAATGGTATACAAAAAAGAAACACATGGTTAAACTATGTCTATTTAAACATCTTCATATTTAACATACACCTATGCTTTTAAAGTTATTTTTTCATAGGAACCAGGCTTGTATTTAGTACAAGAACTCAAGAATCATTCAGTGATACTTGAATATACCCACAATACTGCCTTCCTTCCTGTCACTTCAAATGAATTCTCTATGCTTTTACTAACTGCCACCTCTGGTCATTTGTGCATTGGATTCCACTTTCACTCACCTATAAGAGGACACTGTTTCTCCTTCTATGCTGTTCATTTTTCCTGCTTTCCTGGATAATCCTTCTTAGTTTAAAAACTTACCATAAAATTTCCTGCTTCAGGAGAAAATTTTTGCTAGCACTTTTGTGACAAAAGATTAATATCTAGAATGTATAAAGAGCTCAAAAAACTTTAAACCAAGAAGTCAAATAGCCCAATTCATAAACGGGTAAATGAATTAAACAGATCCTTCTCAAGAAAAAAATATAAATGGCCAATAAATACATAAAAAATGTTCAGCAACATTAACAATTAGGGAAATTCAAATCAAAGCTACACTGAAATTTCATTTCACAACCGTCAAAATAGCAGTCATCAAGAACACAAATAATAATAAAGGCTGGAAAAGATGCAGAGAAAAAGAAACACTTTTATGCATATATTAGTATTTCAGTATACTGAAATATAAATGCATTTTGTGTGTTAACTCTGAGTTAAAATGATAATGACTAAATCATAGTGGTTATATAGTTTATTTTTTGAATCTTCTGTATAATTTGAACATTATCAGTTTTTACCTTGATTTTGTTCTTTTCTTTAGTAAGTGACATTATAACCTGAGAAGAAAGTTGCAGGCTTCATCCACACACAGTGGGAGGAAATTACTCAAGAGCATGAGCACAGGAAATTGTGACCACAAGGGCCACTCTAAAGTCTGTCTGCCACAATTTATTTACTGTATCTTCACATGGAATATATGGTTATCACATTCAGTAATTTTTGTTATGGTTTTAGATGTAGTGATAATTTGGGATTTTTTATTTTTCTAACCAGATTCCATTGGCCGTGACATCCCTAAAATGCTTGAATTATTTAAAACTGGACATGAAATTCACGTAGATGAAGAAAGGGAGAACTTTCTCAGTACCAAAATAGCCACAGTAAGTTATGGTGGAAATTCATTAAATAATCCTTTTTTGTTTAATTTATTAATAATTTATACTATTGTAATATACCAGTCATTTGCATTTGCTTTTGAAACTAATATTAAGCATATGTGTTGTATATATTCAGAGATATGAAAATTGTGCTCTGTATGTGTAATATGAATTGAATGCATTCTGCTGTCATATATAACAAATTAGAATAAAAAATTTAAAAAAGAATAGCATTAAATATACACATGGAATTTTTTTATTTGAGGACTTCTTCCATCCAGAGTTACTGGGTATTCACTAGAATTTGCTTATATTTGCCTTATCTAGTCTAAGTATGTATTTTTGTTTCCTAAACCCAACTTTCAATATGCTTAAATTTAAGCATATTGAGAGTTGGGTTTAGATCTTGTGTGTATTCTATAGAACATTATATAATGCTGAGCACATAGTGGGTATTTAATACTACATAATGGAATTGAATAATTTGCCTTATCTTAATAATTTATGTCTGGTTATTTCTTTTCTTTTCTTTTGTACCAGTGATTGAACTCAGATATACTCAACCACTGAGCCACACCCCCAGTCATATTTTGTAGTTTATTTAGAGACAGGGTCTCACTGAGTTGGCTTAGCTCCTCACTATTGCTGAGGCTGGCTTTGAACTTGCGAATCCTCCTGCTTTAGCCTCTCAAGCTGCTTGGGATTACAGGCTTGTGCCACTGTGCCCAGCTTTTCTGGTTATTTCTGTTTGTTTTCAAAGTTGTTTGCCTATTTATAGAAGATACTAGAAATCAATTTCCAATGTCATTTTTAGGACACTAATATTGACCTGTCAGAATTATAGAATGATGTTTTCAATATACAGGCATTAGAAACAAGTTATTTGCAAATACAAACAATCTCTAAATAACATGTAATTTTTTTTCTGTCCATAATTATAGGAATAATATAATACTGATAGAATAATTTTAAAAAGTGCTTATCAAGTGTCAGGTGCTATTCTAAACACATTTTGTGTATTCTGTCTTTTAATTCTTAAGTATGTGAGAGGTAAAATTATCATCCTTATTTTATAGATCAAAACTTGGAAGCCCATAGAGTCTGAAACTTTTCCAAGGTTTCACTGCTAAAATGAGGCAGAATAGGTAGGATCTGGACCTTGAATATTCTTAAGCTTTCAGGTTTTTTTTCCCCCTATTCTACCTTGTTTTGTGACTAGAATAATTTGAATTGCTGCTCTTCTTTCTCTTTTTCCTCCCATTTGACTCTTAAGAGGAATTCTGCATCATACACAATAGCTAGTGATCCAAGTGAATTGAGCTATGTCCACCTTTAGAGATTCAGAAATAAAGAAAAAGCACTCAGCTAGTTTCATGGTAGGAAAACTTCCCTTAGAAAGGAAATAAAGTAGGCTTACTGCAGTCAAAGGTTGAAAAGTGTCTACTTGCCACATTATCATCAAAGCTCAGATACAATTTACTTGGCCTGAGCTCTGCTGGAATCTGATGATGAAATTTAAAATTCTTTGTTTCCAAAGGCCCTTGGCAGTGCTTCTTTTTTTTCTCAGAGTTGAAAATATTGGAATCTGACAAACAAACAAACGTGGTATTTAAGGAGCTTTTTTTGAGCTGTAGAGACCTGAGTTTGAATATCTGCCATGCTATGTAAGGGATATTAAGCAAGTTTCTTAATGTTGCTTTTCAAATTTTCTCATCTGCAGAATATCTATGATAATTCATATTTCACAATGTGATTAAACATCAGCTAAAACTGTAAGAGGGTAGTACCTATTATAATAGTTTGGGTTGGTCTTTGGGGACTATAGAATATCCTTATAAGATCCTTTCTTAAGTAATAGTTCAGTATATTCAGTAGTATAGTTTATATAGGTCCTGACTTAAAGTGTAAGAAACCATGGCATTTTATACTTTTTTTTTTTTTTAATAAATACTATAGAGAGTAAGACATGAGCTCCAGATCAGGGTACTTGGATCTTTTGGAGACTAAATGTTTTTTTTTCTCAATAAAAAAGAAATTAATCTATGTGTTTAAAGAGAATCTTCTTGAGTACAAGTTTAGTATTATAGTATAGAAGGAGATTAAGAGAATAGATTTTAGATTCATGCTGTCATGATTAAAATCCTAGTTCCAGTTTAGAAAGAACTATTCTTCCTTGCTGTCAGTCTTGATTATTTTCCTCTTTTCTGCCATATGTAATGTGATAGTAATGACAAATACTACCTAGGCTAGGAATGATTAGATGAGGTAATAACATAATAACTATGTAGCACACTTACTTCTTCTGGCTAAGATGAAGGCCCTATGCGCCAAAACCAATGAGCATTATCTTGATACCAAAACCAAGGAAAACTACAGTGCAACATCATTCATGAATATAGATGTAAACATTTAAAACTGAGTTTAATAAATAAAGTCCAGTGATATATAAAAAGTATAATTTATCATGGCTACCTTAGAATGTTTTCTATTGCTGTAGTAGAATACCTGAGACTGAGCCAGGATTACAGTCACAGACCTATAATCCCAGTGGCTCAGGGGGCTGTGGCAGAAGGATAGCAAGTTTAAGGCCAGCTGGACAGTTTAATGAGATTCTGTGTCAAAGATGAAAAGGGCTGGGGATGTAACCCAGTGGTAAATTGCCCCTGGGTTTCATTCCCAGCACCCCAACACACACATAAAAAAAAATCTGAGTCTAGATGATTTATATAAAATAGAGGTTTACGTTGGCTCATGATTCTGGATGCTGGAGAGTTCAAGAACATGGTGCCAGCATCTGGTGAGGGCCTCATGCTACACCACAGAATGGCAGAAAAGTGAAAGGACAAGAGACATGTGTTGAAGAGGCAAGAACACTAGGAGTTGACTTGCTCTCTGGAGAATGAATCCATTTCAATGAGAAAGGCATTAATCCCTCTTAATGACTTCATTACCTCTTACAGGCCCCACCTCCCAGCATTGTCACAATGACAGTCAAATTCCAACTTGAGTTTTGGAGAGGACATATCATATTCAAATCATAGCAGTAATCAAGTACCGTTCACTGTAGGAATACAAGGTTGGTTTATGATTCGATAATCATTATAATTCATTTTATTAACAAATTATAAAACCAAAGCCATATGATCATTTCAGTAGACACAGAACTAGCATTTGACAGAATCCAAATGCTGATTAAGTAATCTCAGCAAACCAAGGATAGAAGTTAGTGTCCTTTGGGTTAGTTCTACTGCTCAGTGGTAGAACATGTGCTTAACCTGTATGAAACCCTGTGTTTAGTCCCTAGCACAACACCCACCCCTGCACCACCACCAAAAGTCAAGTGTCCTCAACCTCATAAAAGATATCTAAGAAAAACCAATAGCTGGCATTATATTTATTGGTGAAAGACTAAATGCTGTTATCTTCTTAAGTTTAGAAAAAGATTAGGATATGTGTTCTTAATGCTTCTGTTCAACCTTATATAGGATTTTAGGTAGAGTAAGAAACAGGCAGAGAGACATCTAGAATGGAGGAAGAGGTGAAACTGCCATTATTTATAGAGTATATGATTTAGCTAAAAGAACAAAGACATGAGTTAAGTATAGTTGAAGTATATAAGCTCCATGTATAAAGATCATTTGCATTTCTGTACAGCAGTAACAATTAGAAACAAAAAACAGTGAATGTCATTTATAATACTATAAAAATATGAAAACTTGAGGATAAATATGACAAGAGATGTGAAAGATGAATGCACTGTAAACTTCAAATATAGTAGAAAGAAGTTAATGATACCAATAAAAGGTGAGATGTTCTTTGTTTATGAATTAGTAGACTGAATGTTAGTAAAATATTAGTTATTCCCAAGGGAGTCAATAGACTCATTAAATTCTCAAATTCCCATTCAAAATTTATTTTCAAAAAAATAGAAATTGATTCTAAAGCTTATATGGAAATGTGAAGGATCTAAGATAGCCAAAGCAACTTTGAAAAATAATGAAGTTGGAGATATATATGATTTATAAAGGTACAACAGTTAAGACAATGTGGTATTGATGTTTAGAGAAAATACAGTCAATTGAATAGACGACCCCTCCCCCCCAAAAGACAAAAAACATATGGATAACTGATTATCAACAAAGTATAAAGGCATTTTTTAGTGAGAAAACCACATAAAGCAGTCTTCAACAAAATGTACCAGAACAGTTAGATAGCTACATATAATAGAATGAACTTTGAACCACATTTCAAATCCTACATAATAATTAACTCAAAATATATCAAAAATCTAAACATAAAGCCTCAAATAACAATACTTCTAAAAGAAAAAAATTGGGCTTGGGAATTATTTCTTAGATGTGACACCAAAAATATCCATAGAAGAAATTGGTAAGTTGCCCTTTCATAAAAATTAAAAATCTGATCTTTAAAAGATAGCATTATGAAAATGAGGACAAATTAAAGACTGGCAGAATATATCTGATGAATCCAGAATATATTTAAAAAACTTATCAAACCCATTAAAAAGACCCAATTTTTAAAAAATTTGGCAAAAGATGTGAACACACTTCACCAAGGAGCTACAACACAAACATATGAAAAGATGCTCAACATCTTTTTTTATTATTATTATTTTTTAGTTGTAGATGGACACAGTGCCTTTATTTTATTCATTTATTTTTATGTAGTGCTGAGGATTGAACCCAATGCCTATACATGCTAGGCAGGTGCTCTACCATTGAGCCACAACCCCAGCACTGATGCTCAACATCTTTAGTCACTAGGAAAACATAGATTAATACCATAAAGAACTGTCAGTACACATATACTAGAATGAATAAAATTTTTAAAATTGACCACGTTGTTTAGGATGTGGAGGGGCTAGATCACTCATATACTGTGGGAATGTTAAATGATGCAATCTCTTTGGTGAATAATTTGTCCTTCTCTTAAAAAGTTGATCCTACTATATGATCTTGCCATTCCACTTTTAGATATTTACA